TGTAAAAGTACCTTCATATTTATGTACTTCTGGGGGGGGGGAGTTAGCTGCGCCGCAGGTAAGAGGTCTGCTTTGAAAATCACAGGATCAGAGATTCCAATCTTAAATAATATTTGGAATATTCTCTTAATTACTGCTAATTCTCTTGAACAAGGAATTAGCGCTGCTGCGCTTAGATGCCCCCAACCAAGAAACGAATAGCAAGCCGTTGATTCGGGAACGGCAGGGATAGCATGGCGTTTTGGTGTGATCATGCCACAACGGGTGAGAGATACCGGCCATGTTACCTGATGCGAGCGGATATTAGGGATTCCGTTCCTCGTAATCTATGGGATAAATGACTGTCAAAAGTGATAGTCAGCACAAACTGTACAGCAACTGTTTATAACTTAATACAGTTGCAACGTATAATGCCATTTTGCGAAAAAATGAATATTTGATATGGCAAAAGCTATGCGTTGCGCACTTTCATAACGGTGAACAAGATGCAAGGCAGAAGCAAATGTTTGAAACGCTAAGACCATGAACGCTCATCGAAGCAACTTAGAAAACTCAGTTTTTGGAAGAAACTTAGAAAACCGTTTGCAGCATTAAGATAGCATAGTTGTAGGAGTTGCAGAAAGCAACAAAAGACAGTTTCGTAGATATCAAATAAGGAAAACAGTTTCCTAATGCATATCGACAGCGAGGTCAAGGAATTGATGATTCGGTTCCTTATATTCAAACTCAAGTGCATCTAGACAGAGTATTCTGAGAGATGATCGGCCCACCGGAGCATGACTCGGAAGGAACTGTAAACTCCCGGAATTTGACTTCCCACTTATGTACGACCAGGCATGAATCTTCTAGTCCTGGAAGATCATTAGCTTGATGCAGATGGAAAACGACAGATAATAGTCGGTTGTTTGTGCACGAGATAGTTTAACATAACGAGTCACTTGTCATCGCCGTCATGATCATCAGTATTCTTCAATCCACAGTTGAATAAAGGTTTTTCTAAGACTTTATCATAAACTTGTTTTCTGTGATTCTTTTCTAGCTTGTTCACCTCATCGATCTGGAGGTCATCCTGCGGACCCAGTCTCAGGATGATCGACTCTTCTTGAAGTGTGTCCTGTCCACTGCCATTTGAACTTCTCCATTCATGCAATAACATTGTAGGCTCCTGTTTGAGCTTCTATCAGTTAATTAGCTTTTCTGTTTTCTTGTTTTTGCCAGCATATACCCTTACGTGCTGCGTTACGCAGTGTGCAGTTCATGTATAACTTTCTGGTTTAGGATTCACGTTTCTTGTTCATAGGTTATCACAGAAATCATACAATAATCGCAAATGGAGTTTCTCGGATGAGGAATTTGCAATCTTTCAAAAGTGCTTCGTGCCATTTTTTACTCTTTTATTGATTTTACAAAGACAGTTCTCCTTTGCAGAGATAATCTCTCACATATGGGCATAGTTTTGCTCTTTCTCAGGCCTAATTCTATTGACATAAACAGGTCACAGGGTCACGACATGACCGGCGTCTTCGTCGGGTTCGTTGTAAGTCCTACTTTGATGCTTTCGTCGATATGTCCTCGCGTTCCTTTGTGAAGTTTTACTGGTGATCTCGAGAGGATAAGAATATCGCGAGCAGTAGGTGGCTTAAGTAGTGCTCATTTATTTTCAGGCCCTGATTTTCTTGTACGAGTGCCCTGAAAATCTCGTTTGAAACTGCTGTGAATAACTTCCGTGATACTGCACCACCCCTGTCAGACGTCCTTCTCGATTTTGACTTTGCTTGTGCGTTCATGACGAAGCTTTACACATGCCATTGCACTCTTATAAATTTCGGCGGTAAAGTCTTTGTATCTTTCCTTGATTCCCTAACTCCTCAAGGTATCCAGTACAAACCGGGTGTAGGCTGATTCGAAAGCTTTCTCGAAATCAACGAATCCCAGACAGAGAGAAGCTGATATTCACTCCTAGTCTGAATCATTTGTTGTACCGCCTGAAAATGATCTAACGTGCTAAATCTACTTCTGAATCCTGCTTTCTCCGTTCAGTTGCAGTGTCCAGCTTTCTTGAAATTTGTGTCACCAGTATCTTCGTGAGCATCTTGCCGATTAGATGATTGACAGCAAACCGATCGGCCTCAGGGGATTTTCAGATTCTCTCTGCCTTTGATTTTCTTTGTTATAGAGCAGAAGAGTTATTTATGTACTATTGAAACAGATGTTATGCAGGCAAGATCGAGCATCCTGCGCTGATTGAAATTTAATTAGATCCGCCTTTTGGACAGATTTTTTGTCCCATAGTCTGAATTATCATTATGAAAGCAAGCAACTGATTATTAGTTACTTATGGAAATGACCCTAGAAACCATTCATCGTACTTCTGAGATATTAAACAATAGCCACCTTGACGTCACTAATTCATTAAGCTAAAACATAATTGCCTTGAAAGTTTCAGCATGGTTCGAAAGGATTCCAAGGATTTCAAAGGAAATATTTATTTTTTGTCGTCACTGAAAGCGTAACCTCATAACCAGTTTCATATAGTTTGGATGAAGTGCGATAACGTGTGGAAAATCAATAGTATAATTTAATCCAATCCCTCTTTTACACTGTAGGCTTCGTGAAGCGTATATGACAAAGGCTCAGGGAAACGTAATTACTCTTGCTATCTTGATTTCTATTGAAAGCAAGCATTGAAATCACACGATGGCATGTTTACGTACTTGCGTGCCCGTCGTTACCAATTCTTTGACCTTCGCATTTGATGAGATTCGAGGGAAAGGCAAAGAGTTTGATTCTGTCTATGTTGGCTCACGAATGCGTGCGCGCAGTTAAGAGGCTTCGAACAGGATCGATAAATCCGTTGAAAGGAGGCAAACAAACGACGAGTCTGCTTGTTCATCTAATGGAGCAAAAAAATTTGTTTTAGTTCCTAAATATTTGATAACGTACCATACGAGACTCGTAATTCGAGTGCAATAAGCACATTTTATCCGTCGAAAAGAATGTATCAGGTGATTATGCGTTGCGCCAGTTTTCCTGGTCTAATCTAATCCTTGCGAAGTCGGTGGCATTTATCTCCGTCCATTTCTCGGTGTCAATAACATTTACCCTGCTTTTCAATAGCCTTGCTGCCGTACCAACTAAGACTCCCTTGTACCACAACCTCACAGGCAATCGCTGTTTCTTCTGTCGAAATTTCACAACTTTATTCATGTATATTCTTAAACAGCACAAGTGTAGCAAAGCAGTTCGCTGGCATGGAGACCCTTCGAGCAATGTTCTGCATCACTGTTCGTCGACAGTTTCAATGAGATTCCACTTGGATTGGAATTCAGCTTCCAAGCGAACAACGGGCGACCGACAAAGCACAAAATTTAACCAGCGTAAATTTGGCCAGGTTTCCCATCCTGCGATCAAGTCAAATATTGACTATCTCCTCAGGCCAGTTCAGATTATTTGTAGGCATCTACGAAATTTTTCCTTTCAGATAAAGCGGGAAAAGGAGCGTTCCGGTGCAATTCAGAAATTGCTACAGTATTTCCCGCCAGAATGTGATTTGTAGTCACGATCGTCACCGTAATTCTTCTTAGGTTGAATGCAAGACAGTGTTGCGTCACCCAAAATGCTAATTCTGTTAGCAAGTTATTGAAATTCCTTCGGAGATTCCGCAATAAGTGCTAAATCACCTGCTTGGCGATTACACAAACTAGGGTACAATAGAGAACTCCAATATACTGGTATAACTATACTACGTAACTGTTGCTGATGACAGTATAGTCAGTCACAGGAAAGGTTACAAAGATTACCGATTGCCATCTGTGTACATTTTTCAAGGAAAATTGAATGATGTGCACTGCATACATGTTCATAATAGTTTCCAAATACGTCATATGGTCGACAGAGTATAAAACTTTGGACAATCCAAAAATCAGTGGTATAATTTACGTTTGAATTCCAGAATCTGTATGACGGTCGTGAAAAATTTTCAATACTTCTATTAACTCTGAATTGTCCGCACATCGGTACTGACTGCACTTTACTTCGCTTCTTTCCAATGTGACCGACACTAAAATCATTACGTCGAAAACTGAAAGGAATCGAGTGTAGGAAGCTAATCAGCCAAGGCTACATCCATCTTGCTGATCAGCGTAATTAGGCTTGAGTTGTCAACGTCTTTCTGATTGATTCAGAATGAAAAAAGAAGACCTAGATTTCCTATTCATTTACTACTGCTATGTGCTCCACTTTACTACGAGTTTCATTAGCTTTTCAAGTGCATGCAAACTGAGTCTAAGCTAATTGCTTAAACTGAAAATCGCTTTTAAATATAGCGAGACGGATAAGCGTTACATTGCCTTCAAATACATGAGTTTAGAAAACTTATTCGCGAAGTATGCCAGCTTACAATGGTCTCCAATGGAATGCGTGTTTCAGAGAGGCAAATACGACACAACACACCATGAAACATTTCTGTCGTTCAGTCAATGAAAGACGTCACCTCCTCATAAATGACGTAAGCCCTATTAAACGCTAACCGCCTTCAGCGTGTCACTAAAGTCGTATCCTAAAGAAACTACACGAACCACTGGACGTCGAATATTGACATCTGCTCTTGCGAAAGTAGGACAGCTCTGAAAATCTTTTACAACTGTTCGTCAGAAAAATCAATAACTAAACTTCAGCACGGGTTAATCAACAGTTACAAATAGACTGATTGTTAGCGACATGCATCGGAGCAGAAGTTACAAAAACGTCTGTTCAAGAATAGAAACGTCAGCAGACAATCGCTACTTCTGCAGTTCAAGCAGGTCGCAGTGGATAATTAAAATATGAAACTCTGAGCGGTCGAAGCTGACTCACAGTTTAGGAAGTCAACGGAGTCAACTGGATCAGCGGAAATTATAGTAGGAACAAACTCGTGACCTCTTAGCGTTGAACAGCCGTGTCAAAACGTAAGATGATTATGCAGTTGGCTCGAAAATGCTAATATTAACCCTTATTTAAATCGATTCTTACCTTCAAAGTGGGGCTGAATAAGTTCAAGGTTTTGGCTTCTTTGCGAAAGGTGTATGGATAGATGAAATTTCCCGAATTAGCGACGAATTTCCATGAGGTGATCTGAAAGCTTTTTAATGTCGTAACATAGTCCAGAGTTTCGACGGGGTTAGGTGATGACAAGTCTTCTACGGTATCAAAAAACGAACTTGCAAGCTTCGTGTGAGTGCCGAGAGTTTTTTGTGACTGGTGAGCGGAAGCCATGACTGGTGTATAGTCTAGCTTTCTGTGGGCGGCGCGCGCGCGGCAGTCTATTTTGTACAGCAGATTACAGCAGGTGTCCACCTTATGCAGGAAGTCGACCAGTCGCAGGTCAGACGAGCAGAAGCGGTTGTGCAAGAAGTTCAGGTAGGTGACGATCAGCGACCGGAACCGCGGAAGCAGACAAAGCGCTATGGACGGGCCGTCCATCGACGGCAGGTATATGAGGTCAGCCAACGAGCGGTACATTGCCATGCAGCAGACCGTCTCAAGCAGGCTTCGATAAAACTCCAAGTGCTCAGATACATCAAATATCGACTCGTTTTTCAGATGACACCGAATCATCGGTACGAGTGATGATGAAGTTATGAGAGCGACCAGGTCAGAGGTCAAATGGTTGTCGTGCGCATCGCCTCCGTCATAAATCTGGGTAATAATCGCGTCAACGTCGCTAAAGGACGGGTTGGTGCAATAGAGAAACGAGTTAAAAGCGTTTAACAGCCAAATAGTCTGCTCCTCTCGGAGCATGATCCCTTCGACGTACCGTTCGATGTCCCATTGACTGCGAGTCGAGCCGGACCCGTATCCGGTGCCGCGCGTCACCGGCTGCAGTTTCTTCTTGCTTCGGTTGAACGCAATGTGCGACAAGAACGCTTTGCTGGGTGGCAGATCGCTTTGTTTCTTAGCCAGGCTCCTGTCGGCCTTATGCTTTTCTGACGTTGTCGGTGTGGCGAACGAGCCGTGATGAAAATCCGTGATCAGATCAAGGATGTGGTTGATGATGCCACAGCGCACCAGGTGTTCTTTCTGTTGCGGATTGCTCTCGCTGATCATGC